GTTTTGGTGGTCCATGAAGGATGTTCTCCTCCCCCCCTCTAGTTTTGGGGTGTCTGTGGGGCGATGTACCCTTTCCCCACATGTTTTGGGCGGGGTGCAGTGGGGGGTCTTCCTCTTCCCTTTCAGTTTTGGGGGGTGCACGGGGCCTCTCCCTCCCCTCCCTGCCAGCCTGGGTAACCCAGGGAGGCCCTCATGCTCCCCCACCCAGGCCTGGAGGGGGAACCCCTCCTGCAGGAGCTGGCTCGCCGCTACGTGGCTGCCATGGGAGACATGGAGGGACGCAAGCCTGGACCCACCAGCATCCTGGGTGAGTGCGGCCCAAGGATCCGGGGAGAGGCAGGGGGGCTTAGGGGGCCTCACGCCCCCATGCTCCCCCAGGCACCTCACAGCTGCGGCCTGGGGAGCCTGAGGGCTATCGCATCCCCTTCAACCCCCGTGGCACCGGTTGCGGGGCCGCCATGCGCAGCCTGGCCATCGGCCTCAGGTGGGGACGGAGCAATGGGGGGACAGGTGGGGATGGGGAATGGAGGTATCAGAGCTGGAAGGATGGGGACAGGGTATGTAGGGGTGTCAAACAGGGATGCGGGGGTGTCAAAATGGGTGGAATGGGGACATGGGGGTGTCAGGGCTGGAGGGACGTGGGGGAACAGGGACACGGGGAATGGGGGTGAGGGACTGTCAGAGCTGGGGGAATGGAGACATGAGAATGTTGGGGCTGGGAAAATGGGTGTGTCAGAGCTGGAGGGAAGGGGACGTGAGGGGATGGGGGTGGGGTAACAGGGACATGGGGATGTCAGAGGGAGAAGAACGGGGATACAGAGAGCGGTGGGGCTGGAGAGGACAAGGTCTGGGATTTGGGGACATGGTGGTGCTGGAGCTGGGAGGTCGGGGACTGAGAACACGGGGACAGCAACAGGGAGAATGGGCACAGCAGGGACAAGGACTGTGGGGACAAGAGTGGTGGGATGGGGATGGGAACAAGGCTGGGGATACAGGACCGGGGCGGTGGGGACTTGTCTGATGCCAGCACAGGTATCCACATGCCTGGGAGCTGCCGACACTGATCCGGGTGAGCATCGAGAGCGGGCGCATGACCCACCACCACCCCACTGGTGGGTGCCAGCCTGAGGGAGGCAGGGCAGGAGGGGACACAGGAACCCCCCTGAAGCCCCTGTCCCCACAGGGTACCTCGGAGCACTGGCAGTGGCCCTCTTTGGGGCACTGGGGGCTCGAGGGGAGCCCCCAGAGCGCTGGGGGGCTGAGCTGCTGCGGGTCCTGCCCCTGGCATGGGACTACGTGGAGGGCACCGGTGTGGCTGTGGAGGACAATGCTGCTGCCTGGCCCTTCTTTGGGGAGGCCTGGCACCGGTGAGGGGTCACTGGGAAGGCCTTGGGGAGACATTGGGAGCACAAGGTTGGACTGAGGAGGATACTGGGAGGGGCTCAGGGGGCCATTGGTGTCACTGGTGCCCACTAGGCTCTGTCCCAGTCCTGGAAGCGCATCACACTGGGGTTACTGCTGATCCTGATGTCCACTCTGTCCACAGGGCTGGCACTGCCCATGCTGTTCCTGCTGCACCTGTGTCCCGCCAGTGGTGCCATCCTCAGGGGCACTGACCTGTGTGTCCCTAGGGTTCCTGGGGTTATGGGTTTTCCTGGTGTTACTAGTGTCCCCACTGTGTCCAGAGCCACAGTGCCCCCCCAGGTGTACCAATTGTCCCCAGTGTCCTCACAGGTTCCTGGGGTCACAGGGGCTGCTGGAGAGCCATCGCCCAGTGACCCCCAGTGTCACTGGTTACCCCCTTGTCTGGTGACACCAATGTCCCCACTGACACCAGTGTCCCTGATGACTCCCCATGTCTTCAGTGTCATCCCAGCTGCCACCAATATCCCCAGTGACCTCAGTGTCCCCATGTCCCTGCAGGTACCTGGACTCCCGTGGGCTTCTGGAGGGTCCTGGCCCGGCCCAGGTGCCATCCCTCCCGTCCCCAGCCGAGCGGGACACCGTGTACCTGGGCTGGGCGCTGGAGGGGTGGGCAGGGCGCAGTGGCCATGATGCACCCATGGTGGCCCTAGAAGCCCTGCTGGCAGCCGGTGGATGCTGGGAAGAGCTGTGTGGCAGGGCAGTGTTGCATGGTGGGGACAACGATTCGACGGGGACCATCGCTGCTGGGTGCTGGGGGCTGCAGAGGGGACTAACATCCGTCCCCCCGGGGCTGCACTGCCGCCTTGAGCACCGTGAGCGGCTGCGCAATGCTGCCCACCAACTCCATGTGCTGGCCTGGGGGAGATGATGAGCCCGCCCTGTGTCCCTGGCATCACCTGCTGTTCCCCTCCAAAGAAAGCCCCGGTGGGTCACCAGGGCACAGCAAAGACTAGCATGGGGTCTTAGCTTGGGAGGCTCTCTGGGGGTCAGCAGGCCTGGGAAGGCCCCTAGGAGAGTCCCGGGTGAAGCAGGACCCTTCAAGGGATGCTGGGGTCTCAGGCAAGCCCCAGGGAAACCACCATAGCTGTGTCCAGGTGGCCTTTTACCCCTCCCCAGTTTGGGACCCCAGAACTTTCCCAAGAAGCCTCATTTACCCCCACAGTAAAAAACATGTCCTCCCAAGTCACTCTGGGTCTGGGTGTGTGCCTAGTGTCTCTTGTCCCGCCTCTGCCAGTGTTGAGACCTCGGTGGGACCCTCTGCAGCCAAACCTGCTCCAGGCTGAGCAGCTCCTGCAGCCCCTCCAAGAGGCTCCCAGCCATGGGGCATCTCCAAGGCCTGTTCCCGGGCTGGCTTGCCGACAATCTGTTCTGTACTGGTAGCCCAGGGCTTGGACCCAGTGTTCAAAGGGTGGGCTCACCAGTACTGAGTGGCGAGGAAGGAGCACACAACCCTGCTGCCACCTGCCTCCAAGTGCCACCCAGGATAGTGATGCATTATCCTTTGCATCCTGCTGCTCATGGTCACCTTAGTGGGCCCCAGGGTCCTTCAAAGCAAAAAGGATGAGCCTCCAGGGGGATGGTCCCCCAGGGTTAATAACCCTGAGAGGGCCGGGCCTGAGATGTGATGGGCCAACAGGGTAAAGCACCTCTGGTGGGCCCAGAGTTAATCATCCCAAGGGTGATGGGATCAAGGACTAATGGACCCGAAGAGTAAAAAACAACCAGGGTGGTTGCCCCCCCCAGAGGTGATGGCCTCAAGGATTAATCCCCTCCAAGTGTGATAGGCCCCAGGGTTAACCACCCTGAGGGTGATGGATTTGTGCTAAGAACAGGGCTGATAACACAGGAATGCTTTAGTCCAAACCCCCTCATTCTTAGGGTTGGAACATGAATCTCAGTGACAAAAAACCCCAAACAACATCCCCCCCCAAAAAACCCAACAAACCAAACAAATAAAAAACCGAGGAAAAAAATTGAGATCCCGAACTACAATTTCAAGGTCCAAAGGATTATTTTTCTGATTCAACCCCAAGTTTTTCAAGTACAAAGACTGATTTATATAACACAATCCTCCAAAGTAAGGAAAACAGAATCACTTTTAAATCCCTAAAGCCTGCACTTGGGAGATCATATAGTTTAAGATACAAACCCACATTTTCATACTACAAAACTACATTTAGACGTCACAAGATTTATGCTTTTAAAGTTCAAAGACTCATTTAGAGGGTCCAGAGCATCATTTTGAAGGCCCCAGGTTTGATCTGGAAGGTTCAAAGCCTCATTTGTAGAGTCCAAAGGCTCATTTCTGGCCCCAAACCAATTGCATATGTTCCAAATGCTCCCTCTCAGAGGGAGAGAATTCAGTCTGCAATTTGGTTGGCTCAAAGCTGCCTTTTAAGGCTCCCCAGACCCATTTCCTCATGCACTTACAATAAAGTAGGTCCTGAGCTACTCTGGTGAGGGTGAGAGTGCTCATCTTTCCTTCTCTGTAATGGTGCAAGTGTCACACCAGGAAGCAGGTCAGGCCCAACGGTCCAGCTGCTGGTGGCTCTGCTTTGAAAACTTTTTGGGCAAGCTGATGCATTCCTACCTTCCAGGTGGGACATTTGAGATAGGGAGCAGCAGGTTTTAAGGGTTGCAGTTGGCTGGCTCCATCCAACAACAGCTCCTCCTGCATGCATCCTCATCTGCCCAGAGAAGTGGGGAGTCCCCATGGCCCTGGAGCAGGGCCTGCAGTTCCTCTTGCCTTCCTCAGAAAGCAGGAAACCACCCCAAAAGGCCCCACTGAGGGCCAAACAGGGCTTGTGCAAGGTTGGTGGCACCTCTAGTATGTGGTATTGTACTACTGGGATGATCCTAGTTGCTGGAGACCCCCGGATGTCCTCAAACTGCCTCTGCCCTGACTTCAGCACGGCTTTTTCAGTGGGGGAAGAGGGAAGAGAGAACTTGGCATCTCCTCTCCCAGGGCTCATGTTGCTACCAAGGGTCCCCAGAGTGCCATCACAAGTGCTCATAATGCCATGAGTGTCTCCGAGTGCATAGGTAGACCTACAGACAGAGTCCAGCCTGAAAAGGGCTGCTGGGATTCCCAAAGCCAGTTTGAGGGTGTGCTGTGCTTCCCTCGCCCATTTCTTCTGGGGGCCAACCCCCTGGAATGTTCGGGGGTGATCTGAAGTCTTGGGGCTGCCCCTTCCAACCATTTCAGGGGGATATTTTGCAATTTGGGGGAATACTCCCGAATACTGGGGTGCCTGGGGCCTCCCGAGGCTTCCCTCCCATGCCCCCAGTCTGGCTAATAAAAACTGGTTCGAGACTCAGTTGTTCCCCAACTTGTCTCGCCCACCTCCACCGCCCCCGGACGTGTCGTCTCCCCCATATCTAGGCCAGTCCTTCCGGCCCAGGCCCACGGGCCCCCCCGTTCCGCGCTCCCGGAGGACGAGAACAGAGAGGAATCGGCGGCGACCAGTGGAAGGGGGCGGAGCCAGGCCGTGACGATGGGAGGGGGCGGGGCCTGCCCGGCGCCACGGTCGAAGGGCTCCACACGCAGGCGTCGCTCCTCCCCTTCTCGAGAAATGACTGACAGCCGTAGTAACCAACGGCGCCGTGGAGGCGGGAGGCGGACTCCGCCTGACAGCCAATGGCAGCGAGAGGTTGGCGGGCAGCCAAGCGGCTAACGGCAGTGAGGTGACAGGCGGCGCGAGCAGCCAATGGCGCGGCGGAGCGGGGCGCGGCTGGCCAATGGCGCGGCGGAGCGGGGCGCGGCGGAGCGGGGCGCGGGGCTGCGGCCGACGGGCGGCGGATCGGGGTGAGCGCTGAGCCGGCGGGCCGCGGTTCCGCAGGTCGTTCCCGGGGCCTAGACTCTCCTGCGGCCCCAGCACCAATCCTGGCCGGGCTGCTCCCGCTATCTGCCGCCTGAGCATACGCCCGGACCACCCCCGCCCCGCTGCGCCTAGAACTGATCACCAGTTCCCCTTCCTCGGTACAGGCCCCCGAAGCCCTGGCTCCCCCCTGCTCCCCAGGCAGCAGCCCCAGGCCCTGGGCTCTCCCCGTGTCCCTCTGTACTCTCTCCAGCCCTTCAAACTGCCTTCTACGCGCCCCCCCCCAGCAGAGCCCTACTCTCCAAATGCCCTGAAGTTCTCCCTGGTCACCTTCCTTGATGCTGTGGCCTCACCGCCTTCACCTGTCTGTGCCCCCGCCATCAGTTCCACTCCCGCTCCCTCCCTGAAGCCACCGCTCCAGAATCCACCCCAACTCACCTGCCCCAGGCCCTCCAACCTGGGTCCCCTTTCCCGAGGGTGCCCTCCCCGTCTTCTAGGGGTGCCCCCCCTACTCCTGGGGTGCCCCTGTCTCCCCAGGGTGCCTTCTCCCCACAGACCGCCCTTGCGCCATGGCAGAGCCGCGGTACCTGCAGGCCGACTGCACTTTTCGACCCGGGACACACACGGTGCGGGTGACTCTGGCTCGCACTGCGCTGCGGGTGGAGGTGGAGGCTCACGGCACCGCCGACCTGTGGAGGGGCGAGTTCGATGCTGCTTGTGAGTGCCGGGGGGGACCCGAGGGAGGACTGAGGGAACCCCCACGACTGCCACTCACTGAAGTACCCCCCTCCTCGCAGTCATCGAGGACCTGACCCGCAAAACGGGGAATTTCAAGCAGTTTGGCATTTTCTGCAGCATGCTGGAGTCAGCGCTGATGCAGGTGTGGCTGTGCTGCTCCCCTACATGGCAATTTGGGGGTAAATGTGGTGGGGTGTGTGTCCCACTGAGCCTCCCCCACTTTTCAAACCCCCTGCAGAGCAGCGAGTCCGTCAGCCTGGAGCTCCTCACCTACGCCGACCTGGAGACCCTGCGTAGCCGGAAAGTGGGGGCAATCGCCCGGCCTCCCCCTTCCTCCTCTTCCCCCCTCAGCACCAAGCGCTACCTTATCCTCGTCTATTCTGTGGAGTTTGATAGGTGACAGGGAACACTGGGCAGGGGGCATGGAGGAGTGACACCAACCTCACCCCCTCCACGTGCTCCTCCCCAGGATCCACTACCCGCTGCCGCTGCCTTATGTCGGGCGGCCGGACCTTGCCACACTGGTGCGGGAGTTGCGGGAGGAGCTGGCACGGCTCCGGGCCCGACGCCTGGAGGACATCCAGCACCTGCGGGACGCGTGAGTGGGACCTGCAGCACTCAGAAGGGTTTGGGGGGTTCAGGGTGAGGAAGGAGCCCCCAGACCACACCCTGCCATCCCCCTCAGGCTGCGACGGGCACTGGAGGAGAAGCGGATGGCAGAGGCCCGGCATCAGCGTGAGCACCGTCAACTGGCTGCCCAGGTGGGCTGGGAGGGTACGGGGACGGGGGGGGGGGGGGGCTGCAGGTTGAGGACTGCTGGCAGCGGGAAGGGGGGCTGCCAGATGCACAGTGAACCTTTTCCCCCACCTTGCAGCTGGCTGAGGCAAAAGCATCAGAGCAGAGGCTGCAGCTGCGGGTGAAGAGCCTGACAGCCGAACTGGCCTCCTGCAGGAGGGGGTGAGGTTGGGGTGGGCTGTACAGGGGGACCCTCATGACCATGGGATGTCCCCCCTTCATGGCACTGGTCCTCTTGGCAGCCGCCGGACATCTGCCAGCACGGCCCCCTGCCCCCAGGAGCGACGCTCGGCATCCCTGGAGAGCCACAGGAGCAGCCGGGGCCGCCCCTCTCTGCGATCCCCATCACCTGCAGGTGTGGGTCGCTTGGGGGGACACACATGGAGTGGAGACAGGACATGGCTCACTCCCTCCTCATCCTGACCCCTCCTCCTCACCCCCTCACCAGGCTCCCGCCTCCCACGCTTCGACCCCACTGCCTTCGTCAGGGCCCGGCAGCGACGGCAGAAGGAGGCTGAGCTCAGAAAGTAAGCGGTGACAGTGAACTTATCACTATCCCACTGTCCCATTCCTCCCCAGCACTTGGGGGATCCCCTGCTCCCACTCACCATCTCCCTTGGGTGCAGCCAGCGGCACAGGGCAGCTTTTGGCAGCTCCAGTCCGGTGAGGAGCCATGGGCGCAGCTCGTCGGGTGAGTGGGGAGCATGAAGAGGGCCAGGAGGCACCCACTGGGTGCTGGAGCTCCTTCCTCAACTTCCTCCCTTACCCCTATTTCTCCCTGCAGCCACAAGCTTCCGGAGCTGGTGCTCGGCAGTGAGCTCTGGCAGCAAAGGCAGTGAGTGCCCCGAGGCTGTGCCCCACAGGTAATGCTGGCTTGGGGCAGGATGCTTGGGCATCCTTCCTGGCACCTCTTAAACCCCCCTATCTTCGGCAGGGACAGGAGGGTGACCCGTACCCAGAGACCCCTGAGCACCTCATCCTGCAATGGCCCCTGTATGGTGAGGTGCAGCCCCTTTGGGGTCCCCCCACCCATTTGGGGCCCCCCATCTACATGCTAAAGTGAGGTGAGCACGAGGAGTGGGGGGACACACGCCAATAACCGCCAATCTCTCCCACAGGCACCTCGCCTGGCTGCCAGCCACAAGGTGCCCATACGCAGTGCTGCTGGCAAGCACCCTGGTAAAGGTGAGGCCCCATCCAAGTCCCTGGATATTCAGGGTGCCCCCCAACCCAATTCAGGCCTTCTTTAACCCATTTTCCCTACACTGACCTCCCCCAGAGAACCACTCTGAGGAGCCCTCAGCCGAGCTGGCTGAGATTGATGCCCGGTTGTGGGCGCTGCAAGAGTACATGGACAGCCTGGACACCTGCATGTGACTCCCCCCCAGGGACTCCCAGCCCCTCTGGGAACCCTCCCCCCTCCCTGTGTCAGGGGCTGACGGTGGTGTGGGGCAAGTATTCCCCCAAATAAACCTTTGTCTGGCCCTAGGGCATGTTCTTCTTGGGGTAGGGTGGGGCTTCTGTCCCCCCTCTTGTGGTCCTCTTGTCCTCACTCTGTCCCCTCAATATCCTGCTGCTGGGGACATGGCAGGAAGGACACAATATGTGTGTCGGGGGGGTGGGCACCGGGACGTCACCAGAGGGTGATAGGGGACATGGGGGATACATGCCCCAGGTCACCAATCCTGTCCTCTGGGCTATCAGTGAACTCAAATGCCACTGCAATATAACAGCAGGACCCATGTTGCCCTACCCTGCCCCTGCACCCTGTCCCCTGTGTGTCCCTGTCCCCCCTCATGCAACGCTACTGTCCCCATGGCACTGGCCGAGCTCCCCATTGTGGCTCTAACACCACCATGGCTTTATTCAGTTCTGTGTCACACAAAATGGTGGGGTCAGCAGTGACTGGAGCCAGTGTGAGGCTGCAGTTCAGGAATGGTGGCAGCTGGCCAGGGGGTCAGCAGTGATCATGTCACCAGAGCGTAGAGGTCCTGGGGTGGCAGAGTGGTGGTCTCTGTGGCAAAGCCACTGTTTGGTGTCACTGTGACCCCACTGGGGATGCCACTGTGGTGAGAAGATCTTCAGTGTGAGGTGCTGCAGCCACAACTCGATGCCACCACAACCACACATTCCGCAGGACACTGCAGCGATGATGCTGACGGGCACGAGCCAACCATGGCAGATGCAGCACTGGTGATGCCATGAGGACAGCAGTGGTGCCGGCAGCTGGTCGTGGATGTCTGCCAGGCATTGGTGCTGCCACGGGTGACAGCCACAGTGGGGATGGTGAACGTGGTGCCTCGTCCCGATCCCGGTCAGAGCTGCACGCGGATGTCGGGCAGGAGGCGACAGGCCGTGACGATGTCGATGGTGTCGGCCACAGCGCGCAGGTCGCGGCGGGCCAGGCGCAGGCAGTGAGCGGCGGCGGCGGCGGTCACCTGGGCCCGGCCTAGGGCCCCCTCCAGCCCGCCCAGGCTCCGGGCGGCGCTGCCGTAGCTCTGCCGCAGGGCGCTGCCCACCGCCCCCTGCAGCCGCCCCGTCCCCTCCCGTAGCCGCTGCTGCAGCAGCGAGGGGCTCCCGCGGCCGCCCCCCCAAACCGTCGCCGGCTCTTCCGCCAGCACTGGGGATGTCTTCGGTCTGTGCTCCTCCTCCTCCTCTTCGGTCTCGGAGGCTTCACCCGGCACCTTCAGCCCGGCCCCGGGGGCTCCCCCCGCCGCCCCCACCAGCAGCTCCTGCTCCGAGTCGCTCTCGGAGGCTTCGCCCGGCACCACCGTGAGGGGGCGGGGGGCGGCCATGGCCTGAGTGGCACGGGGGGGGATCAGGGGGGCATCATCGAAGGGGGGGGCCCTCCGGGCTTGGCCTGTGGAGTCCCTCCCCCACTCCTCCCCGCGTGCTCAGACCCCTGTAGACTCCCACGGCCCACTTAGTGATCCCAAATCTCCACATCCAGGACACCTCCCCCCACAGTCCTCCCCCTCCAATCCCGCGGGAATCTCCCACCTCCTGCCCGCGAACGCCGCAGGTCACATGATGGGAGGACCACGTGGCCTTCGCATCACGTGTCCCGCGCAGCGGTAACCCGGAAGTGCCTTCATTCGGCATGGCGGGCCGGGTTCTGCCGGCGGACGGCGCATGCGCCACGCCGCCATTAAATAAGGGAGGCACTGCAGCTCTGGCAGGCTCCGCGGAAATGGTGAGCGCGGACAGGAGGCTTAATGGAAGACCCGCGGGGGCATCCCCTCTGGGGACAGCCGCCCTGCCTCGCGGCCACAACCAAGAGCAGGAGCTGGGCTGGCACCGGGACGGCAGCCGGACCCAGAGCCCTCCGCACGCCACACGGCCCCTCCGGCCGAGCCCCACCCCTCACGCCCGCTCGCCCGCCCCCAATAGCGCCGCGTACGTCCGCGGGCATTGGCAGCCCGGCGGTGGCGGGGCGGGCCGAGGGCGCCGATTGGCCGTGCCGGGCGGGGGCAGGCCCCTCCTACCTGGCCTGTCCACGCCCTTCGGGCCTGTTCCGCTCACGGCCGTGGCCCCGCGGGCTTCTGCTTTGGGTCCCGCACATCCCGCTCGCCTTTTTTGGGAGGGTCCCTGTGCAAGGGGATCCCCTGGGGAGGGCTGAGGCTGAGGAAGCTGGGGAACGGTGCTCTTCCTCGCCGGGAGTGCCCCTCTCGCCTCTCTCCATGATGCGGTTTGAGCGGGAGAGGCTGTGTACCGGGGCACCGACCCCACCCTCCGCCTGCCCGGGTAGGGATGGAGCCCTGGGATGGGTCTGGGAGTACTGGTGTGGTGATGGCGGGATGGGGAGAGGCCGCCGATGGGGCTGAGGTGGGGTCCGGTCCCCCGGCACCGCCCCCCCCACCCCAGGGGGAGATGTGGGAGATGCAGAGCACCTTTGGGAGCTGTAAGTGCTGGGAAGGGGCTACAGGTGCTAAAGGGGGTTGAGGAGGACTGGGAATGGGCAATGACAGCCAGCAGCTGCCTAGGGTCGAGATGGTCTCCAGACAGCTGCAGAGGAGTGGCAGGCTGGAGAGCAGCTGTAGGAAAGGGTATGGGGACTGCGGGGGCCTGTAGGGGCTGGGAGAGAGGGTTATGGTGGCTATAGGGGCACAGAGGCTGCCCACCCGGGGAGAGGTGGGTGTAGAGGCCCCTCATATCTATAAGGCACAGGTGTGGTCGTTCCTAAGGAAACCACTCCTTTCACTTCCATTAACTCTGAAACCTACGGATGGCCTGGCCACAAGGTGGAGACTGGGAGAAGGGAAGAGGATGCTCCCAGGGGAGGCCAGCTCTGGGGGAGTTGGGGACCCTGCGAATTTATATGGGACTAAGGGGGGGGGGGTGCTGTATAGGCATAAGGGACCAGGTAGTCATCCGGGGTGCGGGGGTCTGGGCAGCAATGACCTCTGGGTTTGGTGTGTCCCCTGGGACCACCATGTCCTCCCCATCCCTATCCCCATCTGGACCATCAACTTCCTGGGCTGAGTGGGGAGACAATGGTGATAGACTAGGGGCACCTACAGCCCCTACCTACCCCACCCCCCAGCACCTCCCCAGCAACCATTACCCCAAAGCTAGCTGAGAGCTGTAAGGAAGGGCAAAGGTTTGGGGGGACAGGGAGTGGGCAGGTGCAGGAGAGCATGGGGGAATTCCCCCAGACTGGGCAGTGTGGGGGTTCTGGTGGTGTCTCCAAGTCCAATGGATGTTTTGGTGTTGCCCCCAACCCATGGACTGTGGGAGTACAAGGTGTACTCAGGCCCCGGCTTTGGGTACTCTGACCCCTGAAACCGGGTGCTCATCCCCCTCTGTGTGGGTGCAGCCACATTCCCAGGTGCATCTCCCACTGACCCCTCTGTCCCTGCTGTCCCTGCAGAGACAGCAGAGAGCAGGTGCAGGAGTTCCTACCCCTCACAGGTTTGAGGCCCTCAAGTTGCGCGGTGGTGTTGTCCTTACCTACATCACCTTTTGCAGCCCCATGGGGACCCCCAGCCTCACCCTGAGGTGCTTCCCACAGATGGAGCCCTCTGGGGTGTTTGGGGTTGCCCCCTACTCAAACACAGGGGCAACAGCACCAGACTGTGACATTTGAAGCCTGGCGGAATGTTGCCGTGGCAGCTCACGTGACTGATGGCCATCCGTGGTTCTTGCAGGTCCAGAATCTCATGGGGTTGTAGAAAGATCAGAGGTCAGGAAATCACACGGGCGGTACTGTGAGATCCAATTTTTTGTGGACGATAAGTGGCTCAGAGGGAAGCGGAGCATCTACTCTGCATGCTTGTTGCATCCCTGAGCTGGAACAAGACATTCCCAGCAACTGCCAAGGTGTGGCAAGGAAGTGTCCTAGCCTTGCCATCCAGAGCTGCAGGTAGGAATCCTGTGGAATGGGAGTGCATTTACCTTGTGTCAGAAAGTACTTTAGAGCTCAGTCTGCACCACCGTGTCTGCAGGGTCATGATTTCTGGGCCTATGACATTCCAGGGATGAGTCAGATGGACTCACAGTCACCATCAAAACCAGGGATAGTAGGAAGATAAAAATCTTAAAGTGTTTTGAGCAGTGAAATCTCTAAAGCATCATCAGAGACCTTCTGACTGATATCAGTACTTGCTATTTTTCTTAAATGTCTCCAGCAGCAAGAGTTAGAAATGGTGGCTTGTTCTGAAAACTGAACTTACTTTTCAGAAGATTTTTTAGGGAGGGTATGCTGAGACCAACAGGTGCTTTTTTACAGCATGAGACCATCTGTGAAGGTAAACAGTCTGCCTCTTGCCATCCTTCAATAAACCATATGGTGGTTAAAAAACCAGACCAGCACTGACTTCCAAGCTCATGTACTGCAGATAAACTTCACATATTTGCTCAGGTATTTGCTATAGTGTGAAACTGGATTAAACAGTCCCTAGGTGTAGTGTTGAAAACACAAGGTGACATATGTCCAGTCTGGAGCACAGTAGGAAGACTGTCTTCTGGTCTTCTAGCCAAGATAAAAGAGGTTTTAAAAGGCATGGAAGAGAAAGGAAGAAAAGGCTAAGGTGGTCTTTTTTACATAGAATTTGGGAGTGAGGGGAAAAATAAAGGGAGAGGCACCAAGCACTGAAATCCTTGAAGGAATGGAGACTTGGTTATACTGTGAAACAACATTCTACTGCCAATTACAGGTTTTCCATAGGTACTTGTAAGTTATGAGGGAGACCAGAATTTGAAAGCCATGAAACCTTTTTAAAGTTTCCCACTGATCATAGCAGATCAAAAATATAATCTGACTGGCCATGGTAAGTTGTGCACAGTGAGAACTGATCTCTTTCCTTAAATCCATAAGAGGGAGTCTGTGAGCAAAAAATCCTTCAGCAGCACTATAAGGCACTAGATCTTATAGCTGGCCAGAGTGTGTACAGGGAACCACTACACTGTCTGAGCCAGTTCCTGGACAAGGATGCTGTCTGCTCTCATCAGAGTGTGAAAAACATTCTCTTGCTCTAGTGTGCAGACTG